TATGTGTTTCCATATAATATTATTAACACATATATGTTTGTAATTAATTTTAATATTTTGTTTGAAATACGGGTCTAAAATATAGTCAACCTGAAACCTGAAAATTTCGATTTTATGCGGCATAAGAGACACATAAACGAATAAGTTATAGGTTTTTGAATACCACAGGCCTACTCTGGCGACTTCATTAAAAGAAGTCAAATGGTGTTATCGAACAATTTAAAGAAGAAGTTTTAAGAATCTCTTCGTTTAAGTAATTGATGGCACCAACAAACTACTCGTTTTTACTAGTTACATATATATATATATATATATATATTATATTATATATAATAATATATATATATCTATTGTTATAAGTGTTACAACGCTTTATGTAACAATTTTAATATATATATATATATATATGTATATATAGTGGTTACAAACGCTTTTATGTAACTAATTTTTAATATTGGTTTTTAGGAACGAAATACTTTAAAATACAGGTCAAAATGCAATGATTCTTAATGATCCCCAATAAATTGCACCAAAACTTGCCAGTGGATTTCTTTTAAGCAATGTGCTTGCTATATATATATATATATTGAGATCAGTTGAGCGCATCAATCGATGACATAAATTGATATTTTTAAATACAATGTGAATGATTCAAACTTGATGTCCTTATATAAGGACAATTCACCTTATAACTACAACTAATAGTGACGACTTATCTCTTTATATCCATTGGATGGAAAATGCTTAAATCAGTATGAAATCGATTTTGGAATTATATTAAAGTCAATAATATACTATAATTTTAGAAAGTAATTAAAATAAAATTAAATAATATCTTGCATATGATTCATTCATGTCATTAAAATAAATAATTTATAATTCAAATTCAAAATATCGAAATAAAAAAATATACTATAATATACTTTATACTTACATTTCCACATGGAGAATTTCTTTTAAAACCGTCATCCGTTAATGATAGTTTACATGCCTAAGATAAATGAAAAAGATCCAAAAAGTTTTATTTAAATTCTCATATTGTTCAAAAATTTTTGTTGTTTTTTTATTAAAAATACAATCAATTATTACTTATTTTTTTAACTTTTATTTAACCAAATTTACCCAAATATTGGGGTAAATTATAATGAAATACGACAGCATAAATTTTATTTGTAGTAGTTAATAGTTAATAATTGTAATTAATAGTATAACTGCTGTTTATGCGTTCATTCCGATATAGGTATATGAATATTTTTATGTTTCTGTTATACTGAGAACTGTAAACTATAAATGAACTATAAATTTAAGAACAAAGTGAAAATAAAAAGGCACAAGAAATAGAAATTTAAGAAAACTTAAAGAATAAAAATGTATTTTCCAATAGGATAAGATAATATGTCTGAATCATTTTATAAAGAAGCCGACAATGCAAGTTCATTTTTCAAAAAAATTAAATCCATAATAATACTATAATATACAATAATACAATAAAAGCATTTTATTCCACTGTTTCTTTTATTAGACCTTACAAGGTTTTAGATTTTATATTCTATATTTATTAAATAAATGTAAATTTATCCACTACAAACTGAAAACACTTACCTCAAATATTTTATTGACTGCAGCACTCTATTTCCAGTATCAAAGCCATGTTAAAACGAAATTTATACCGATAAATTAATTTAATAAAAAAATATTAATGTGAGTTCATCATTTCTTACGATTATATCATCCAAACTCTTTTAAAAAAATATAAAAAAAATTAGCAAAAAAAGTATTTAAAATAAATTTTATCATATACATACGAATGAGATCTCACCCGAGAAGTTTCCTCTCTCTACTCTTTTTTGAAAACATACCTAATAAATATCCGTTTAAATGAAAAAAATATTAAATTGAAATATTTTGTGTAGGATGTTGCTTTGACATATAGGCTTATAGGCCATTTATTTCATAACGATAATATTTTAAAGTAAATATTATAGAACATTTTAACATTTAGTTAATAATAATTACTCATATTTATTGTACAATATATACAAAATGAATATAGTATAGTATAGGTTAAGTTGCGAAAGGGGAAAAATTATATTTAAGTTTATATTTTTAATCATATTTATATATTTGATTATTTAGTTATATTAAAATTCAATTAAATACACAAAAATAAAGTGAATACAGTTGGACAGCTATAAATGAGAGAGTCTTATTACAGTCTATATCTGAACCGGTAGCTCATAACGATACTTAATGTTAAACTCAATTAATTTTTTATTAACAATGTTTCCTACAATAATAAACAATAAACATTAATAGACATAATAATAAATTTTGATTTTAATAAATTGATAAATAATATTAATAAATTAATACATTTTTTTATATAAGAGGTTGTCTATGATTGACTTTTAACTTACCTCCTTAATTTCACCAGCTATATCACACTGATTATGTACAAAGATATAGATCATAAATAAGTTTAATTTTAAAATTAATTAATTTTAATGTTGATATTAATTGAAATAAATGATTTCTTACAAGCAAGTCATCGATAACCTTAGAAAGAAATTTATTATCAGTAGGAATATAATATATATGCTTAATTATTTCATGCACTCACATTCGTTCCATTAGCTGTATCTTCATTGTTGTTGCACTGTTAGGATAAAAATAAAATTATTAGAGTTATAAAATTAATTTTAATTAAAAGAATATACTTTTGTCCTCTACTAGGATTTAACAAAAGATATCAAATTTCAACTAATTATCTAATTAATTAAATAAAAAATTAAATTTAAGTTTTGTACCGAATTCGTTGCATGAAATCGTGAATACCCCTAATTTTTATTAAAAGGAGTTGTGTACACAAATGGTACAACACACGAGTAGACTATAGCTAATACTATAGCTAATATGGAAAATGCACTACTATTTAATGAATTAAATAAATTGGAAAATATCTGCAAATGTTACATATATATATATAAATATAATAATTTTGCATCAAAACATATGAACATTTCATTAAAATATAAAATATAACAATAGTAAAATTACTGTATCGCAATAATAATTTAATTTGTGACAATTTATTTTAATAGATACTATAACTACACGTGATAATGACGACATTGAATTATTTATGAATATTTACAGGAAGTATGAGATATATTTCATAGCAAAATATACACAAAACTTAGATAATTCATATTTACCGAATCCATGTTAAAAAACTTATTTCTTTTATTGCTGTTAAAAAATAAATCATTAAAAAGAAAAAACATTTTTATTTTTAAAGTAATTACGTATTTATAAATATTTTGAGCCTTTGTCTTCTATATTCATCGAGTATGGTTTATCTTGTAGCAGTAAAACATTCACTGCCTGTTAGTTCAGCTTATAATGAAATCTGTAGTTGAAAAGATATTTCATAAATTTTATGTAAATAAAATTTTATGATATTCGTATATGATTTAGTACTAAAAATAATGATAAATGATAATTCAGACTAAAAAAATATGTAACTAATCCAAAATTTTCTGCAAAATGTATGCGGTTTATGGTGAGAATATTGTCCATAAACGCCAAACCCAGGAGTGGTTTGTTCTGTTCCTTTCAAAAAATTTTAATGTCAAAATGGAACCTCGTTCTGTCATTATAAGAGCTGATGTCTGTTCGCTATCGCTCACAGCTCGCTTGATAGATCAAATAGGAAGTAGATTCGACTGCTCGACAATCAAGGAAGTTCTCGATAGAAAAAAGGTCGCATTCTATAATGTCAATGCCAGACTATACGCATTATTATTGATTCTAAACAAATTAAAGGAACTCAGTTTGATGCTTCCACCGTATAGCACGGACTTTGGGCCGCCTGACTATGACTTTTAATGGTCACTTAATCCAATTTTTTGCAGGAACAGTTCAGTTTTAAGGGAAATTGCACACCTCATTTAAATATGTAGATTAGAGTTTATGTGCAGTTGCTAATTATTAATAATACCCGAATATGAAATCATAATAAAACTTAAAACCAATTAAATCTTTGTAAGTAACATCAGTAGTACATTCTAATTCGAAGTAATCATTACTAGGAGTGTCGCATATGTCAGGAAAACTAGACGGAACGAGAAACGAGAATAAGATGGAAGAAGTCCGACAGATATGAAATATTAACGATCATTTTTTGTTATTTAATTTAAACTATCAATCATATTTATCTGACTTTTTCTGATATAACCAATTAATTATATATAATTGTAAATACATTAATAAAGAAATATTATGTGTATGGTGAGATCCCTACATATTTATACATCTATTACTTACTCATTTTATGAATATTGCCAATATTCCATATCGATTTTTTAATCTTTTTTAAATTGACATATTTGCTTATTGCCAAAATTTGAAAAATATAACCAGAAAAATGATCAAAACAATATTCCAATATAAATGAAATCAATTTATTTTGAATTAAATTTCATGACCTTCTGGTAATGAAATATATTTTGTTTTTAAAGAAACAGAATTAAGCATATATAGTAAAAACTTGTGCTAAGACTTCTTCAGCTACCATTTTCAAAACATGACATTGATTGGACTCAGTCAAGTTTATTTTTCTTTATATATGCTATAATAATCACTGTAACTCAGCTTTTAAGTGTTAATTTTAATTTTCAGTTCAGTTCTGGTGGTAAAATGTCATTAAAGCTGTAATTTTTTTCTCATTATAATTTAAAAATACTTATCCATATTAGAGTTATTTTTATATAAAATTATTAGTTTAATACATAAACTAATTTTACACAAAGATTGATTTCCGTAAATACCACAAATATAACTTCTTAAACTCAATCTCTAATTGAATGTGGGATAAAAATATCTTATTATTAATATAAAATGGGGAGAACTTCTATTCTAACCTAAGGATCTGTTCTGCCCACTAATAAAATCAATGTGTTTCTCTGAGTCCAATTATCTCAATAAAATGTAGTAACGAACTTAGTTCACTCAATCTTATGTCTATTATCTATTATATCTCTATTATATCTATAATAAAAATAAAAGAAAATAAGGGATACTTTCTTATATTATGATCAGTACTGGCTAAGTTCTCAGTGCTTGTTTTTCTATATGATTATCTTTCTTACAAATAATGCCAGCGAAATTTTTTTATATTACATTTGCTTTCATTATTCAATGCACTATAAATTCATTTTAGTAAATATAATATTTACCGATTTACAGATATCTAGAAATTTATATATACGTATATATTTATTTACAAGTTAATTTTGAATTTAAGGAACTGATTCATAACAGCTTTATTATAAACAATAATATCAGTAAACAATGATTAAACATAAGAACTTACTTAATTGACCATTAAGGATGTAAATCTATGTATTTATTTGGATCATGTATGGATTTTCTTCACTCCAAATGTGACAATTTGTTTCCTTTACAAAACCCTTTAAGCAGAAATGAGCTTAATCGGAAGAGATAACTTTCTCGAAATATTAGATCTGTTACAAGTTGTACTAAAAACCAATCTGCAAAATTTTTAAACATGCTCAATGTGTGTTTGGTTCAAGTACTGGGGTCAAACAAATTTCAAGTACTTTAATATGCAGATCTGAATATTCGAGTTAGGTATACACGACTTTTAACTACACTTTGCTCTACAGCATTTATATATTCAACGGATTGAATTCAAAAGCACAAGCACCATCATTATATGACCTATTCTTTTAAATTACATTAACATTAATAGGTATTATTAAGTTTAGCAGGTTAAGGTTTTTGAACATTATTGTAATGAAATATTCAATTCGTGGTTCAAATGATAAAAATTTATTGTTTTTATGATAATTTTAAACAAAATGTTTATATTTTGTATAACTCTTTATTTTTTAATTGTGATTTGGTGAATTTTGATGTAATAAAAAAGATCACTGTAATGTTTAATAAATCTATAACTATAATTTGATCTATCTCTTTATATTTTTATCAACGTGTGTTAAAATTTAATTTAGCCTCAATTTGAATAAATTTAAACCAATTTTTAAGATTCATATGTGATTTAATAAAACATTTTACTAAAATATAAATATTATTAAAGAAACTTAAAAAATTTGTTTAAATAGTTGTAATTAGGGGCTCTGCATTTCAAACTCCATACAGTCAAATTGATCCCAGTCGTCTTTTCGTTTCACAGGCTTTAATGAGAAGAATGTATTTTATGTTGATTAATTAGAAAATTCTAGTTTTCAAATTATAATATAGATATTTCTAAAATATACATAAACACACTACATATTTTTATTATATATTTCATATATATATTTCATATGAAGCAATATCCAAGCTGACACATTTTTATATTAAAACACGTTTAATGTGTGTTGTCGAGCGAATCTAGTTCGTTAATAATTTTTAATATAAAGCCCATGTTATTATTAATATATATTATATTATATTATTATATATTATTTATTATTTGTTGTCCAAACGATTTTTAATATAATATTTTTAAAGGCTAATTGGTCAATTTTTAATTATTTATTTCATAATAATTTTAATTTAATCGATATTTCAGCTTTAGGTTTAAGTCATCATTAATAGGATCCTGAGTTTTGTTCCATTAATCCTCCTATGAGGATATAGTGTGAAAACACTATATATAATACAATTCCAATCGCAGTTACTAAACGAGTTCTAGCAAAGATAGCAATATGATAAATGCATTTGAAAATTTAAAATTTCTTTTATTTGATAGTTAGGCCAAATCCTTTTAAAAGAGGCCAATCCCTATTTCAAAAACTGTATTTTAGGAGTACCGTTTTTCCGAACTTTTTCTGAAATGTATATAGACACCAAAGATCCAGAAATCAATTTATTTTTATCTTACTTAGTACGTTTGAACTAAGTACTTAAATATGTTTTAACAGTTTGGATATAGCTTAAGCACTAGAAGAATCAAGAAATTTAAAAGTAGGCCTATCAAAGTTATTTAATAATTTATATAATAACTTCACCTTTAATATTTTATTGGAATCACTGAAGTCATCATGTATCACTTTAAGATTAGTTTTTTTCATAACACTCTCAATGAAGGATTTAGATGCGTGACAGTTTCTGCTAAAATTCAGTACTTCCAAACGGTGACGATGCAATATGACGAATCTGATTACAGCAACGATTAATATATTGGGATTATAAGCAGTCCATTCAATACCATCAGCTTCGTTATACACTTCAAACTGCGAATGCCAACAAAATGTGTGTAAATTCTCCAAATGCAACATTTCCTCCAACAGAGACCATTCAAAATAGCATTTCAAACGTATTACTCTTACCATCACAGCTTTAAGGGTTCGGACCACTTCCAAAATTTTGCGCAATGAATACATTCTAGACTTGAGATTAACATAAGGTAGAGTATATACTGTAAATTTCTCAAGTAATGGCAACTGACAAATTTGCTCAACTATTGCGGTTGTTAAGTCCACTGCACTCACTTTTAAAACTTCCAACGTTGTACAGCAGTTAATAGAATCCAATAGAAAACTGGGTGTATCTTGACAGTTGTTTTCTGCAGTTTTATTTATTGGTATTATGATGAGTGTTGTCAGTTGCACAGCTTTAAAGAGTTCGCTTAAGTTATTGGTGTCATTTGCTTTACAAAACATAAGTTTTAATTCTTTTAATTGTTTTAAATTGGCTAAATCTTTTACTGATATTGACATTCGCTTTAAATCCAGAACGCGTAGAGATTTGAACATTTCCGAATTAAAATATATTTCACACTGATCATGTCGTGTAGCTGGTGACTTTATAGATAAACTTGTTAAATTGTTAAATATATTTTTATCACAAGTTTTTAGCGTTTTGTATAGTTCTGCACTCAAATTATGAACTTTTGTAATTATACTTAGAAGAATAGTAGTTACTTCTAATACATCTGTGTTATTCAATACTTTCAAAGAATAGTCCTCATCTAGGTCAAAACATTTTGAATATTTTATTTTCCACATACTTAAAATGATGTATTTAAAATAGTTGGACATTTTATATAATATTAATTGCTCTTTCAAATTGAGTTTCTTGAAAATGTTCCTCAGACAGTCTTCATTTAATTGTTGTAGATTGGAACAGCGCACTAGATAAAGGATATTGGAAATAATAAAACTGTTTAAAACGTTTTCATAAATTTTTTAAAATAAAATATATTAATAATTTTTTAGATTTTAATAATTATAATATTATCAAAATGATTACTTGCTGATGGTTATGCTTGCTGAATGAAATAAACTTCTATGTACTTTTATATCATATAGTTTTGTAGCAAGCAATATCTTGTGAGTTCATTCTGAAAATAAGACCACAAAGCACTTTTTAAAGATTTTTTTAAGTTTTATTTTAGAACAGATGCGGAAACTGGGTACCAAACCTTGTAGTCCGCAAATCTTGTACGCAAATATCGTACCATCGTGGCAATCATTTAGTTGGGTTGCATTTGACCCAATTAATGAGTACGATTTCAAATGCGTTGAATACTTGGAAGACAACAATAAACTGAAGAACGTCAACTTTGACAATAATTAAATTCAAAGGTGCAATATCAATATTTGATACTTAGGTCTATGAACTAAGCCACACTCAACAGCATTTTTTTTAAATTCACTTGTGGGTCCACTTAAACAAACTATCATTCATGACTATCACTTATTATATTTGACTATAATTGATCTTTTGTAACTTTAATCTACGACACCGAATTTGATTTTGGATTCACTTTTTTATGGATAATAGTTAATTAAAGTCATTTGAATATTTTGAATTAATTAAGTTAATTCCATATTCGTAGGAAGTCAAATATGATATTCTGTTAAGAATTTAGAAATAAATGCTTTTTTGTTCTGAAGCATTACCAACATTAAATTTATGAAGATCATACGATAAAAGGAAGATTATATCGAAGAAAAAATGCAATTATTTTAATGGATGAATTAAAATTATATACGAGATTTTGATATTATTTTTATTTCATTAAAATTTATATTTATATATAAGTTTGTTAATAAATATAAATACATATGTATATACATTTATAAAAATAAATTTAAGAGTTTTATATATATATATTATATTTACAATTATATTCATAATTTATTATATTATTTATATTTGTATTTATCTTTATATGTACATTTATAACAGCAATCAAACATGGCTAATTAGGTATTTAAATATATTCATATATAATATTTTACAAAAGAAGGATGTTGTTTTTATTCGTTTATTTGTGTTATAAATATAAATAAATATCCGTCAACTATTCAGTACACCGCAATGTAAATGCATCATTTTCGAAATAAATCATTTTTATTAATGAACTTCATTTAGCGATTAATGAGTTAGATTATCGTTAAAAATACAAGAGTAGTTCAGCAAAAATAAATACATTAAGTAAAAAATATAATTTTGCTTTTTCTTAAAATGCTTTTCATTCTTTATGAACATAAAAAATTTATTATCAATTAATAATTAGACATTAATGTCTGTAAATGTTATCGTTGCAACTGTTAAAATAGTATTGATTTCATACATAATTATAATAAAATTGAACTTTTAAAAAAAATTGTATACACACTCATATTTTTAAAAGAAAAATTTTGATAAGCAATTGTTATACTACCGTTAATCTTATTTTCCATATTAAACTTAATCACAATATATTAAAAATACTGATTTTATAATATTAATAAAAAATTTATATTTTTTTAATATTATTGTATATAGTATGTAATATTACTTTTATGTTTTTTTAATTGATAACTTTATTGATAATTTAATTGAAAGATTTTTAACTAATTATTTATATATAATTTAATTGAAAAGTTTTTAATTAATTATTTATTTTTAATTTAATTGTAATTTTTTTAATTAATTAGTTTATTTATAATTTAATTGAAAAGTTTAAATAGTTTTTTGTAAACTGTAGTAATAAAATTTGCTTCTATTCACATCAACCCACAAACTCGAAATAAAAAACAGATATAAGCCCCCTCTAAGAAAACAAGAGAACAGAGTAATTTAAGATACATATGTGGACAACATACGGCTCAATGTACTGAATGCACTTGCATTCTGTTTTCTGATATATAAAAAAAACATGAGTCTAAGATTTGTATTCAATCTTACTTGATATCAGCTGCTTGAACTATTTATAGAGCACCAATATCTGTATCGAGTTTTGTGTTGTAAACAGATTTTCTTCGGTGCCTTCTCGTGGATATTAATAAAGTTTTTATATTTAAGCAAAGTGTGATTTAAATATATGTTGTTATTTTCAAATCAATATTATCATTAAATCAATATAATTTTATGTAATTTAAGACAACAGTAATTTTAATTTTATTTTAAATAATTATGATATGCAATTACGTATTTATTAATACAAAATGTAGTAATAAGAAATGTTTTTTAACTTTGAGATTATATGTAATTATATTTCCAATCCAATTATTTATTTCCAGAATTATTATTATTTAACCAAAAAAAAAACCTCAAAATTATAGGGTGTTTTTTTAACTGCATAAGAACTTAAAATGTTCATATAATGAAGAAATATTTTAATTTTTTTAATTATTATTAACTGGTAGAAAATTTTATGAATATGATTTCCAGTATATATCCGCCGCGGCTACGAGTTACATGGTCTATTCGATCAGTCCAGTTATTGATTATTTTATTGCGTCAATGATGGCATGAACATTGGCATCCAGTGCTTCAAGTGTTGCTGGTTTGTCGTTTGTCCGCATAAACCAATGACAACATAGCTCATAGCCCCACAAAAAGAAATCGAAGGTAATCGAAGTCTCTGAATAATTTCGCTGCGAATAATAATCGTAAATCCGGATTTCTGGGATTTTTTTTTTCAATCCGAAAACTTATTCGCATTTCTTACATGAAAAATATATGGATTCACTAATTCGCTGCCCTTAATATTGTGTAATATAATATTTTACTTAAATTAGCAGAAAGCATTTAAATCAAGCATATTAACTATGCAGAAAAAAACGACTTCCGTAGTTTTTTTACTATGTAGAGGTTGTAGTGAATATGCTAATGTTAAATATGAACAATTCTAATTAATGTAACAAAAAGATATTTAAAAAAAAAAATGCAAAGAACTATAAAGCGATATCTGATTTAAAAAAAAAAAGTAACTGTTCGCATGGTATGTCATTGTGATTTGTTTGACAGGTAGAAAATAGTTAGGCTTAAATTTAATTTTAATTAAATTAAAAATTTTGACAAAGGACAAAATATAAAGTTAAAATAGAAATATTTTAGGTATTGTTAAAATATAAAATTAGAATTATTAAAAGAATTCATGGTTTAAATGTACAGCAAACTTTTTCGCTATTTTGACAAAACATTGACTTTGCACTATAAATATGAAATGTGACGCTTCTGTTTCATTTTGTATGAAAATTTCATTCATTCCTCAAAACTATTCACAATAGCACAAGATTTTACAGTGCAATACTATACTACGATGAACTGTCCCAATTAAAATCAATATGATTTTGTAGAAAAAATAATTGAAATATCATACGAAATAACTGTCGTGTGAATACAATATAAGTGACTTTGGCAATAATTAATTTCTGTTAAGTTCCATCAACCGCAATGAGAATGTTACCGTCAATGTTGTCAGATGGCAAGCCGTCTTAAACAATTTGTGACAAAAAGTGCGTTAACTTTGTCTGAGAAGTCAAATGCAATGGGATAGGCATATATGTGGTACTTCTGTACTACCACTTTATTATTAATTAAAACACTTTTTAATATATGTTGTGAATGTTTATTAGAATACGAGCAGTTATTGCTTTACACGTAATTATGTGATTTTTTTCTTGCTTCTTAGAAGACGTGCTAAATACTAATGGACGCTGGACCAATAAGTTAGTTGCTGTTTATACTTTGGTTCTTACATTACGCCAGATGGAGTTGCGCTGGTTAATGTGTTCGCCACATATATATATGTATATATCTAAGATATAATTTTAAATTCAATCATAGACACCATCGAATTTTAATTTTTTTAAATGATATATGAGTAGATTATTCTAGTTTTTTTTTTTCATATATTGTTTCAAAATTCTTTGTGGATACAATTGAGTAAAAATATACATAGTGTCTAACAACAAATAACTTTCGTATATGTTTCGGATATAAATTTTGACGCAAATTTTATGTTTATTCTGACTTATTAGTGCTCAATTGTATTGTGTACAAAATTTAAGAAATGGTTACTCGCGAACAAGTACTCAAGGTGCTTTTCTTGTTTTTCTTAGCAAATTTTAGTTTTGCTATTATTTTCCTACCGCTTCATTATGTGAATCTGAGCCAAAGCGAGGAAGAAAAACTATTTGACTATAGCCGCTTACGCGAGACCCTGGTAGCACATGATAAATCACATTATGTGGGCAGTCAATTTCCATTGAATTGTAATGAAAAACTAGTGCTGAAACATCTTATGATAGAAAAGTATGAAGATGTGGATCATTACCAATTTGATCCATCAGAGAACTTTTTAAATTCATCAAAAAGGATCAGCAATAGTGCTTTGTATAACATTGTACGCAGAATGCCAAAAGGAGGACTATTACATGTTCATGATTTAACCATTTGCAAAGTTGATACTCTTCTTGCTTTAAGCTATCGTGACTATTTATGGACCTGCTCTGATGAAAATGGGGATTTCAAAAAACTGAGATTCTCAAAAACCATTCCCAATAATCAAACAAACTGTGTTTGGTTGTTGTTGCAAAATTTGCGTCGAGTCAATGGTAAAGGCGTTGTGGATCAAAAATTAAAAGAATCATTTCTTTTAAACGCCACAAAAGATGTGAGCTGGAGTAGCATTCGTAATACTATCAGTTTTATAAGTGGAATGGTTACATATAAACAAGTTTATGCTCAATATCACATGAGAGCACTTGAAGAATTGAGAAGTGATGGAGTTTTCTATGTGGAATTAAGATCGGAACTACCGCTAGTAAGTTAATCTTTCTTTTTTCAAAACAAATAGACATATATATAATTTATGATGGAGTGCTATTTTACTTTAAGTATACATGTACAGCTTTACACTAAATGAAGTATGACTTCTGACGTAATAGTTTTAAGTTTACCAACATAAGTATGCGACTCTATAAATGACGTAGTGTAATTCAAAATTTACCATAAACATAGATAGTTCAATTTATCTATAAAGATGTGCTGAATTGAGTAGGAAAAAGCAAACATGGTGTCAGATACAATGATACTCGTATATTTTTGCAATATTATTTACTTTTACAATAAATCTTTTGTATATTTATTTTTTACTAGCTCCATGCTATGTACCTTCAAATTTCATACATCCAAATTTTTGTATAATATAGTCGTTTGTTTTCATTCATACTAAAGTCCCCCGAAAATTAAGTTTTTGAGGATTTGGGAGCTTCGAAGTAACAACTTTTACCTATATATCATCCAATGGGGGATGTACTATGAAAAAAAATGATTTTAAACAATTTTTGGTGTGGTGGGAGAGATAAATACTGACCCTTAATAACAACTTTACCTATATATCATCCAATAGGGGATGTACTATAAAAAAAATTTTAATACACAATTTTTGGTGTGGTGGGAAAGATAAATATTGACCCTTAATGAAATAGATAAAGTCTTTGTGCCAACCCTTTCTGTAAAAATAAAAAATATGGTATAAATAGAAGGAATTGGTTTTTAACAATAAAATTTTTAATAATATATATATTAAAAATGTTATAGCCGATACATAATGTATCGTTTTATATTGGGACTATGTAGTACAAGTATCGTGCAGTTCAATTTAGCAGTTCATTTAATGCGAAGAACTTAATTTTTAAGTAGTAATGTTATGCATATATACTATATACTAATAAATATATATGATAATGTATCAATTATAAAACACAATATAATTGTTATACATAGTATATGTATTATATATATTAATAACATTAATCATACGTATTACCGATAGAAAATAACACCTATTGTTAGAACCAGAGTCCCTATACCACTCTCCACTTAATGCCATCTTATGAGTAACACGTATCTGTACATACTTTGGGTGACGTTGAACAAGTAAAAAATTGTATAACATTAAGAAATATATTCAATAATTTATATATAAAAGTTAATTAAGAACAACTGGATAAAACAATAAATAAAAAATTATGTATGTATGAATTTAATTGTTGAACCAAATGAATATTACATTGCTAACGTATGTTGTATAGTTGTATAATTTAGATGGAGTCAGTGGAACCATTTATGATACTGCAGCTATACTAGCAGATGTGGTTACTGAATTCAAGCAATGGTTTCCAGATTTCTTCGGTGTAAAATTAATATATGCACCCAATCGCAACGTAAATGACACAACAATCGATAGTTATTTTGAACACGCAATCAAACTACAGGTACTTTAAAATAATGTTCTACATACCATTTAAGTAATAATACATTTTAATGATTAAAAAAAGGAACTCCATCCAAACTTTTTTATTGGCATCGATTTGGTTAGTCAAGATTCTGCAGGAAGAACAATTAAGGAACTCATACCAAAATTGCTACCTTTTAAGCACCTTTTGAAATTCTATATGCATGTCGCAGAAACAAATTGGATCGGTAGCGATTATGATGAAGACTTATACGACATCCTTTTGATGGAAAATCAACGCATTGTGAATAGTTTTTCACTAATAAATCACCCGCAAGTAATGCAAAATGTGAAGTTAAATGAAATTCCTGTGGAAGTTTGCCCAATATCAAATCAAATGCTTAAACTAGTGACTAATTTTCGCAATCATCCACTCAGTCATCTCT